TTCTTATACATTTTTCTAAGGTCCTCATTTGTGTGACCATTTTCAATAATCTTTCTGCTGCTGTAAATTTGCCCATTGTGGGACAATAAAGGGATTTTCTATTCTATTCTATAAAAGGGTTAGAAATACATAAGTAAATCTAAACAATGTATCTACAAAATATATCTGCAAAATCTCTAATATTCAATGAAAAACAATTTCTTAGTTAAGCATATTGTGCAAAATAGCAATCAGATTTATAGTCCCCACCCTGCAGATCTATTAGAATCTGTCCTTAAATTACAGCCAAACTCATTTACACAGTAACAGATAAAAACCTTTAGATAAATCAAACATTACCGCCACATATCTGACTCTATAACCATTAAAACAACTATTTTCATTCATTTCAGACGGAACTATTCACAGAGTTGTATTATATTAAACTGAACTTCCAATTTTCACCACTGTTCTGCGCCAAGTAACCTTTCCTCTGATCACGGAGCAAATCCCGATGATGAGACATTTGTTCTTTCAATCAACCCCCACCGCTCCAAGGTGTCCTGGTTTTCCCAAATGAAAATATGGTCACCCTAGTCACTACACCTGCAACTGACATGTTAATATCCAGAGGACACTGGTTTAGTTTGCTTTCATGGAGAGAAGGAGCAGTCAGAGATTAAGCTATTGTTGAAATAACATCTGGAACAGAAAATGGATAAAAGTTTAGCAAAGCAGTCAGACTTGCATTCATTTCACTCCATGGCATGTTATGACACTAAATTTGGATGTTTGGGTTTGAGTCTGTCTGACTTTGTCACATTATAACTTTATAATTAACTTTGTTATGTTTATGCAAGTGCGATGAAGGGATGACCAACATGGTCTGGAGATGTACAGTACAGGTGTTTATTAAAAGGAGATTTTGCAGAATGTTGTTGTGTTTGTTGATGTTGAGCTCATATTAACCATTTACATGATTTGTTGATCCTCTTGCCTCCATCAGTAGTTTTCATTTATTGTTTTGAGTTTTCATTTATATTATTTCTTTAATGTTATTTTTACCTCTATAACAGCACAACCATGGCATTAACAGATCTTGGGATTTATTTCACTGCTTGGCTTTTATTGGTCCTTTTAATTGTGCTCTCAACTCACAGTTAGTAAAACCTTGATCTCCGAATGAGCCTTTCTTCTCGGTCTTCAATGCCCTTTCTATTAATGTACACCTTCTGACAGGTGTGTTCCCACTTATATATACCTGTATACGGCCTTATTGGGAGAGTAATTATGCAGATTTACATTGCTCACTTATGTACAGGTGAACTGTATCAGGTTTACGAGAATCTTTTATTGACTAAAGCTAAGAACATTTATTGAATCTGATGTGGTGCATTCATAATGGCCTTCGGTAGGACAAAAAGATTCATGATAAGAATATAAAAGTGTTGTTGCATGAATATTGTATGGAGCTAAATTGGGGCCATAAAGTTTATTCACAAGAAAACTAATTTGAACTTAGCTCCATACATGAGGCCCAATGTTCTTAAAATTACAAAGAAATTTTCATATAATTCTTTTTTTTTCAAGGGGTTGTTATGCTTATTTCTGCAGCAGATTGTTGTAATAAATTAAAGAAGGATTACACGCATTAAGAAAACTGACAATATATGAGACCTGGTTTTACTGATAAAAAGAAAATAATCTGAGATTTAAGTTAAATAAAGCAGAAAAAATGGGAAATTAAGAAGTGCTTGAAAAAAGGTTTTGTTTAACATGCAACTGTAAGTAGATCTGTGTTGCCAAAAATAAAAAAAGCATATGGAAAAAACCACAGAGCTCTCAGAGTCCACAGATTTTACAAACACTTTGAGTAGACACAAGCAGAAAGCCTCTTCCAGACACTTACAGGGTTAAATCTAGTTGGCGTTTTTAAGTGAGGTCTTGTGAAGTTGATATTACTAATATCATTTTTATATGGAGCAGAAAAACTGCCTCAGCACGAGCTTCCTGAAAATAAACGAACTCTTTAAATATGTGTTTCCTTTGCATATTTCAGAGCATTCCTCTGTGTGGCTGAATCCAACAGATATTGCATTTTTAAATTTTTAGTATTGAATATTAGATGTAGCATCATGATTCCAGATCAAAATTCACATCTTACTTTATTTTGCAGGATCAGTGTCCAGCCAGAAAGGAGAGGCTTTAAACATACAACCCTATCATCTAAGCTTATCATTTGGCAGCCCACCGGCTCTACCAGGAGAAGACTCTTCAAACTAGCACCATGTTATTTCCCATCATAATAAGCTGCAGCTGAAAAATTGCAGCAATTAAACCTAACCCCAACCCAAACTTAATTCTGGGTTTAAAAGCTGTCTGCTTTAAAATTAACATGTGGGAATATTTAATTTCTTATTGTGCCAATAGGTAGTATAGATTTTATGTCCCTAAATAGCTTTAAGGTGGTTGAACAGGAAGTGACTATGAGCTCCAACTTTATGATACACTGTGGGGCTGGATAGTAATTAAATAAAACATGTTTACATCACCAGAAAGTGTAAAGAAAAAAAAACAGCTGTTAAATTAATTAGCCTCAGCTATCAAACAAACAAAAGGATCCACATTTCGAATATTTTTCCCCGCCTGTTTTTTGTGTGTAATGAAGATGGACTGTACTTGGATGGCTTTTCTATAGCATAGCAACATAAATCAGAAAATGCAGTAGATACAATTCCAGTGGGAATGCCTGCTAATTTTCTTTAATTATCTCAAATATGATATATATTTAGGTGTGATTGGGTGTTGAGGACCACACATAGTCAGGGAAGGTTAAAGAGGTTTCAGCTGTGGGCTGCTTGGTGGTGCAAAGTTCAGTTCTGTTGTTTTTAGGTAAAAAAAAATTATCCTGGATTAGAATCCTGGCCAAAGCCTTTTTATATGTGTGGTTTCTCTACAGATACTCCAGCTTCCTTACAACTTTACAAAATAATAACTATTAGGTTGATTATGTGTGTGTTTGTGTTGCTCTATGTAGCCCATATTTAACATATTAACCACTGGAGATAAACATCAGCCCTCTGTGACCTTACTGGACAAGTGAAGGATGATCGATGAGGGGGTCATTTAAATATATCTGCCATTTTGTCTCAGTAGCGTAAGGAAACTAAAAATTGCGATATTGTGATACGGCACACAGTGTGTATCAACTACTGTAAACTGGCTTTTATTTTCAATATAAAATAATGAGTTTTTAATAATCCTTAGCGTGTTTAGATGTACAAAAAAATGCTTTTGGGAATTTCAACATCTTAACTGTACTTCTTAAAATTAACATACTCCAATAGGCCTACAGCTGAAGGAGTTTTTTACTGACCAGTGGGAGAAAAAAATGGATGGAGTTGGTGACATAACACTGTAGTGGGTCTAGAAGGGCCAGCTGAACTCTCAAAGACAAGGAAAGATGGTTACAAGAACAACAAAGAAGCTTGTTTTTTGGTCAGGTAATTTCATACTTCACAAAAATTGAAGTGCAGAGCTTCTGAGAAGTCCTCATAGATCTGCATAATACAACTTTCTTTTTTGTTTTTCTTATTTAAATGTTTAGGAATAAAACCAACAGGGCCGTACCGGATATTTTCAGTATGTAAAACATGCAATTTTATGTCCTCGGTAGTAACCTTAAGTATTTACTTATTTATACTTCAGACAATTTGTATCTTATGTTAAATCTTTATTAGCTGCAGTTCAATGAGCTGGACACTGAGCACATCAATAAACTAATCCTACTGGTTTCCATTTTGGAACTAAAGCACATTTAGTTTAGGTTTGATGTCAATCATAGATCCAGTTTTTGACTGCAGGAGTAAATGGAACCAAGGATTACAGTACTATGAAAATGTATTCTCTTTTTTAAAGACAGCTTTTAGTGTTTTTACTTTTTGTCATACATCATTAGACCTATGGACTTGGGTTTAATAGCTGGCGGTGCCCCCATTCACTTCTTTGATCAATGGCAGTGGGTCTTTATATCATCATGGAGGAAAATTGTCCCACTTTCCATTACACATTTTTTTTGTTTTATTTTTCTGCTTATGAACTGTTTTTATTTTGTTGTTGAAGGTTAAAACAAACTGTCTGTGGTCCCTTAAGTGACGTTCTGGGTTATTTTCTGACCTCCTGGACGATGCAGTCCTGGAGAAAGTTTAGTAGATCCTAAACTCCTGAAAATGTTCACCTCTATTTCATGGTCTCTTCATTTATGGATAAAGCTTTTTAGGGCGAGACACTGCAGTCCTTGCTTTGTTACTCTTCTTAGAGCCTTGGATGCCTGTAACCTTGTTTCTCAACTGTTCTTAATTCTTTAAGATTGAGTGGCTGATATCTTAATAAGTAAATCAAAATATATTTTTTTCTACTTCGTGTTGTGAGACAGGTTCTATTAAAGGAATTTCTATTGGGACTGAGCTTGGTGTTCCACAAATGGTGAAAAGCATTAATTTAATCATCATCTTGTTTTTTTTCTTAGAAAATTCATCATTTGAAAATTGACTTTTGCATTTACTCAGGTCCTCTTTGTCTCATATTGATATGACAAATTATTACTATACTATACTTAAAAGAGATGTCAGTTATACTGTATAAATGTTCATGTGTATATTAAAGATAGAAAGTCATGTCTTTTGCATGTTTGCTTCGTTATGCGCACAGAGTGAGTAGCTTTGAAAAATGATTCAAAACTGTAGCCTTGCATCCTGAAAAGATGAAAGGAGGGAAAAAATGAGGAGTTAATAACAATACTGGATTGAATATGCTGGCATTGATCCTGGGTCAGTTTTAGCATATGTAAGAGCCATTGTTAAAATGGAATATCAGGCAGGTCATTGTGTGAAAACTTACCTTGGTCTTCTTTTTGGCAGCTCCTGCAAGGCAATGCTAGTGTGAGTGAGTCACATAGTTTCTGAAAGGCGGGATGGGTTTATAAGCTCCACCAGCCTTCGACACAGGAGTTTGGAGGCCACTTTGCTTGGCGGTCTCTCACAGATGCAGACGCAGTAAGGTCTGTCAGCTGCAGCATCTTTCCTTTTTTTTCCTGAACCGGGGGGGCAAAAGAACACAGTCAGCTCTTCATCATGAGGTCCTTCTACCCTTTGCTCCTCTCTTTGCTCTTGGTGTCCAGTGGATCCTCGGCTGTCATCACAGGCGTAAGTAGAAACAGAAACTTCATTCCTCGAAAGAAGTTGGAAACCCGCGATGTGAGATGTGTGCTTTTGTTTGTTTTGTTTTTTTAGTTTGATGCAGAAGAAAAGCCTTAAAATCAGAAGGAATTGAGGTCAGAATGTATTAATAAGATTAGCTTTGAAAAGAACAATTATATTTCTCCAAATTGTAGAAAGGAAAGTAATAAAAAAATAATTAAATAGGTAAACTATTCTGTTTCAACAAATCCTCCAAATTAGACTACACCTAACCTGATGATCTAATGTTTAGAACCACTGAAATTCAACTTATGAAGAAAATATAGAATAGAACAGAATAGAATTTGTTTTATTTAGCATTCCTTGACAAAAAACTATGACTTAGGATAAGCGACAAAACACAAATTATATGTGAATTTATAAAATGCAAAGAGAGTCAATTTATTTATATCTGAAATCAGTTGCAAATTACATTTCAAATAGAATTTCCAAACAGAGTGTGTGGTGACAGAACAGCCGTATCTGTCATCACATCTCTCAGTCCCTGCACTGATGAAGCCATAAAACGTAGACCAGCGTCTGTCACATCAAATCATCTTGTTCCCTTCATCTCATCAGAAGTGAGAGCTGTCTGTCAGATCAAAAAAGAAGTGGATCCCAATCCTGTAATATTTTTTCTCTCTCTTTGGGACATATGAGTACATTTAACCCTATTTAATACATAGATTAACTAATATAGATTTCTCTATTAACTCCACTGCAGCTAAATGAAGTCAGTAGTAGATGATGATGCTCACAACAAATGATGGCAGTAGTACTTTTGGGAATGTTAAATTAAATACTAGTCAGTAAGTGTACTTCTGTGTGTAACTGGGCATGTGGCTGTGTGCAGGCCTGTGAGAGGGACTCTCAGTGTGGAGGAGGGATGTGCTGCGCAGTAAGTTTATGGATCCCCGGTCTGCGGATGTGCAGTCCCATGGGACGGGAAGGAGCCGACTGTCATCCTCTGAGCCACAAGGTGATACACCTCTGCAGCAGCCCGCGCTCTCACCCCATCATCCATCTGTCCCCTTACAGTCTGGGACTTTTCCAAATCTTGTATTTAAAGATAAAGTGGAGGATGTTCTTTTTCCAGGTGGATCATCAACATAAGTGGTCCTCCTAATTGTCAATTATTCTGGTGATATGTTTACATAAGGCCGTCCTATGTGCTTGTCCCATTTTTCACTTACCAGTGGTGAGTCTGACATAGTGGAAAAATTGCTAATGTTCTTTTGGAAAGTAAGGTTGTATGAGCGATGCAAACAGCAACTTTGCACAAGGACAAATGGGCTTGTGCATGCTCTCACATGCATTAAACAGGCATTCACTTTTGGGAACAGGTAAAGGGTTGTGCATGTGCTTTTTTTTTTTTTCAGAGCAGAGATGGCAGATCTTTTCAAAATTCGTGAAAATCCTCCACTATACATTTAAACCCTAAACACTGGAAGAACTGGAATTATTGTAACACTATCATCAATAGTGTAAATTAACCTTGTCAACTGCATCTATAATATCAAGTAAAGTAAGTGTTGTTTCTCAAGCTAGAAATGTGTCTTTGTCTCCCTCGTAGGTCCCTTTCTTTGGGAAGAGACTCCACCATACCTGCCCCTGCCTGCCCAACTTATCCTGTACTGTTACCGGACAGGGAAAAGCCAAATGTCTCTCACCTTACGAGTATCCAGAATATTTCCTCTGAGGATGAATACGTTTGGTATTTCCCATATGTATACCATACTTACTTTGGTTTCCTTTAATAGCTGATTTCCACTGTTTTTCTATTACATGAATAGAGATATATTTATAACCTCGTCTTCATGTCAATTCTGCTAAATTAAAGTGTTATTCCATTAAAAGTTAATTGCTGGTCTTATTTCTGTTTTTCTTCCTTTACCATTTGATGTTTAACTTTGTTGAACATTTTAGTGGGCTTAACTTGAAAAAAATGAGAAAATATTCAAAGGGTATAAATACTTTAGCAAAGTCTTATAAATGGACATGAAACAAGGTATCCTCTCAAAACCAGGAGCTCTGAAGGACTCAAACTTTTCTGCCTCTATTCATGAGCAGGAAACATGGTTTTGTTAAGAATGATGTAGCACGCTGGGCAAATATGCACCTCACTGACCAGCTTCTATACAAAGGAAAACCTTGAGTTAATTTTATTTGGTGAATAAACATCTGACCTCAAAAACAGACGGCCTCACATGAGAAATTGTTATATTGAAAATATTCACTAATGCGTAGTGTTCACAGGCATTTAATTCTCAAGGAGGAACATTGCAATTTAACTTCTTCAAAGTTTGAAGTGGTGACTCACTGAATCTAATACTATGCGGATTAAAAACGTAATTTTCTGTAGAATCAGTTGATGTGAGCTTATTCAAAATTGAACACTAGATTCAAATTTAAAAGCAAGAATATATAAAACTGTGCGGGAAAAATTAACCATGACTTAGGATATCACCACGGTCTTACACCCAACGGGGGCCAGACGATAGAGGAACTGGTAAGGTAATTCACACCCCGTACAGATTTTCACATTTTGTCAAAATGCAAACATACAGTATCTTCAATGTGCGTCATGCAAGGATATTGGTGATGATTGTGTAATGCAAATTATACATGATCACCATGTAAACCTGTGGCCTTTTACATGTAGAACCATATTTCCCTGCTTTTAAAGCTACAAGTCTTAGGGTCACTCTCTTTACCATATCCCATTTCTAAAAAAAAATCTGTTAAAGCTCAACCTGCATAGATAAACGTGAATTTTAAAATCAAGCAGAACCGGTTTAAGGCACCTTGAAGCTAGCAGCTTGAACTGATGAGGCCCTGGTGCACTGGGCTCCACAAAGCTTCCCTTAGAGGAGGGGAGTTAAAAAATCCTTCAACTCAAACCATCCATCTGTGGTTTAACTACCAACATCTTTACCAGGTAACTCATCAAGCTGCAACATGTCCAGCCCACACTTACTCTGTGTGGGTGGTGTTATGGATGTTGCATGAACGGTAAAAACATCTACAGAGATACAAGCCCTCAGAAGAAAGAAACATATAGTTAGGGTTTAGGACATAAGGAAATGTTGCTGGACAATAAACTGGCACAGAAATTACAGAGATAAACGATAGTATATCGTAGTATCCAACTAGCAACATTTCTCAAGATGTCGTCTTATCCACAATATTAAATTTATGGGTGTAAGGGCAGTGTGAACAGCACTGCGCTTACACATGATTATTTTTTAGGTTCAGATTCATGTTTGTTGTATTGCAGGTTTTAGTTGCTACTTTTTAATAGCAAATGCGCCATACTGGATCAAGCTGTTCCCCACAGCCATTCAGTTGAATCCAAAGTGCTCCTACAGAGGGTCTTGGCTCTAAAACCTTTTCTTTGGCTCTCTACTCCTCATTAACAGTGATCTCATGCTACACTCTGAGGTATATCATAAGACCATGTGCCCTGGAAGTACCTGACGCAGTAGTTTATTCCTCTCAACGCTAAGAAAAATGTAAATGCCAATAATAGAGCCTGCAGGTAAAACCCGTGGCATCTGCACCCATGTAACACACCCCATCTGCTCTTTTATGCAGAAATAAAAGCTTATGAAAGTGGGAGTCTTCCTGCGTTTGGAATGTAGGAAGATATTTAAAATGTTTGTAGGGAAGAGAGCAGTCCCTTAAAGTCAGCCTCAAATCTTGATTTTACCTAACACTAGTATGCAGTGTTTGACACTACACATCATGGTGTAGTGTCCCATTCACACACTAATGGATACAAGTTACACTGTAACGCTGCCCTCTGCAATTGCAAAATTTTGCCCTAAGAGCCATACCTGCTCGGACGTCGCCTGGTTAACAAGGTCCGGTTGACAAGGTCCACGTCAGTTGCTAGGGAACCAAGGCAAATTGATGACAAATTGGCTACTGGAACAAGACATAGATGGACGAGATATATATATATATATATATATATATATATATATATATATATATATATATATATATATATATATATATATACATAAATGCTTGTGCCCCCACCACTTCTGAAATCAAAATTTCGTCCATGTAACCAGAAGATATTGAGCATGAATGCCATTAGTAAACAAAACAGTAATTGTTGAATGTGTACAGCGATGTTTGTAACTGCTAATGATGCTTGATCAAAAAGGACTAAATAAACATTATCAGGATGAACATGTAACATATTTTGCTTTATTTTAACATGGACCTGTTTTATATTATGTCACATTGAATTGAAATTTTACATGGAAATTGACTGCAATAAAATTAAAGTATTTTTTTGGAAACAATACCATGATCTCAGCCCCGGTAGCTTCTCCAATTACTTATTTCATTCACCTGCCGTTCCCTCCCCACTCTCTAATTATCATTTATCTTATTCACCTGCTTCCTTTTGTTTTATATACGGGTTTCTGTCATTATCTGGCCTGATAGCTCACCTTAATTGTCAATTCCACTCACCTGCCTAACTCTGCCCGGTTCTCTAATTATCACTCATCTTATCCACCTGCATCTGTTGCTTTATATTCGGTTCAGCCCAAGCGATGAAGGCCAGATCTTTGTTTGATGTTTGTTTGCCGTCTGTTTGTTTATGACCGTTAGTTTGTCTGTTTAGTTTATTCTATGGTTCATGTCCTGGTTCCCGGCGGCCAGTGGAGTGAGAGGGTTTTGGTGTTTGTCTTGTCTTCTGATCGTGTCCTGATCCTTCTCCATGGAGCCCTCAGGGTTTTGGCTCGGAACACTTAGAGCGGGTCAGTAGACGATCAGAAGGCAAGACAAACACTAAAACCCTCTCTTGCCAGACAGCTCTCTGGGTGCTCAGCAACCTTAAACCTCTTGTCCTCGAGTCGCCCCAGTAGCCTCATATGTGAATATTTATTTTTGGCATGTCCTTTATGGCTGAGCTAGGACATGTCATTTAATGAAAGGAGAAAGAACATTTTAAAAGAAAATACCATGCAGAAAATACCAAGTTTAAACACAACAGAGCCTGATAATTGTATCTTCCCTTTTTGTATTTATTTGCTAAGAAATGCAAACATCTTTTCAAAGCACCAAATTGTTTACAGAGTCCCAGACAAATCCATGGAAAAAGAGACGCTGACTGAAAAATGGGTCCTGCAGCCAACGTGAATCGACCTGTCTTTTAACATCAGTGATGGAAAACAGTTTGGAATTCATCTTCAGTGTGAGTTTGAACATCATGTTCCACACAAAGATTAAATGATAGAATACACAGAATATTAAACCAGCCGTTTAAAACAAAGTTAGAAAGAAATTATGATGGCAATTTACAATATTTACATCAGTTAGGGCATCGCCTTCCTCTAAATAGAGACTGAGATGTCTGCCTTGTGAAGAGTAATTAATAAATGCAAAGTGAAGTGTATGACAGAGGAGTTGGTAGATGAATTTGTGCCACAGCCAGAGCTGATTAAGCTCAAGGTGTCTATTTCTTCCCATTGGAAAATTAGGTTAATGGCCCAAAACTGTAGCATCAGATCATTTTTATAAGCAATCTCAATAAGTTGTAGAGTTATCCAATAATTTGTTTCCATTTTAGTGTGCATAAAGATCAGAAATGATAACATTAGCAAGAAGATTCAACTCTGTTAGCTTGTCTTGGGTCCTTAGCAGCTACAAAGTTAGCTAATGTGTTAGATCCAGTGCTTTTTTCAAGTCTTGGGAAATCATTTCAGAATGTAAAAAAAAAAAAAAGCACCAGTTGCATGTTTTGTTTTTGGAAAAATAGAGCCGCAGTACATTGGTGGCAGGACATAAGGTCCGATTTTTCTCACATGCATAAGGCTGCATTTTAAAAGTCACCTACTCTACACGCAGAAGGTTTAAATGAACTCATGGTGTCCTTCCATATACAACATATACTTCATTGCTAACTGTGAACCAATCATGGTTTAAAAAATAAAGAATGGATTAAAAATACAGCATAGGAAACTTTTTTGGGGATTGATATGAGCAAATAAAAATGGGTAAAACTAAATGAAGCTTTCCCTTCCCCATCATTTCCACAGCCCACTCTTCCCAGTATTCAGAGAGCACATTCTACTACAGCATGGTCACACAAACAACAACTGCTGGGTTATTTTTGCTTAACTTAGCTATTGGGTTTATGATGCTGGAACAAAAGTTGGGTAGTTTTTAACCATCGGGTAAGAAGATGTAACCCAGTTTGTTGGGTCAGAGAAGAGACCAGAACAGAGAGATCAGATGTCACAGGATATTTTCCGCTTGATAGAATAAGAAGTTTTAAGATAGGGAAAATGTTTAGCATAGAATTATTAATTTTACAATAGAGAACCATCTTGTTCACTTAAAGGTATAGTGGAGGATTTTTGCATATTTTTGAAAAGACCCGCCCTCTTCACTTAAAAAAAAAAAAATGCATATGGACAACCCTGTACCCCATCCGGAGAGGGAACGCCTATTAAAGGCATGTGAGAACATGCAAGAGTCCATTTCTCCTCATGCACGCTCTGTTCAAAAGTTGCTGTTTGCATCGCTCATACAAGTTTACTTTCCAAATGAAGATTTGCAACTTTTCCACTATGTCAGACACACCAGTAACAGCCATACGTAAACATATCACCAGAATGATTGACAATTAGGAGGACCACTTATTTTGATGATCCACCCGGAAAAAGAACATCATCCACTATTCCACCATACCTTTAAGGTAATGTTAGCCTTTTAGTGGCTAAATAGTTGGCACAAGCTAGTGCTGGTAAAATGAAAGATTCCCATTTTGACCAAAACCTAAATATAAAGAACTCAAAGGAAAAACATATATAGAAAACATATAAAACAAAATAAACAATAAATTCTACCAAACAAAGTAACATAACACAACAAATTATATATATATATATATATATATTTTTTTTTTTTTTGTTTTGTTATTTTGCTTTGTTTGGTAGAATTTAATATCTATTTTGTTTAATAATTTCATCCACAGGAAATTCTCTGTACTGCCTCTTCATCCCTATACACAGCTGTATTGCCTCTCCCTGCTTCTATTGTGGACCTATAAAATAATATACGGACTACCTTAAACCTGCTTAATTGCTGACTATTTTAAGGATATCTGTCCTCATATAAATGCTTCAATATCATCTTTTTAATATTTTTTGTTTAGGCTAGCCAACTCTGGTTAATTTATGACAGATTATAACCCTTGATCAAGCAAAGATAACACTTATCGACTGCACATTTCATCATACCAAATTATGAGTAGAAGATTTATTAATTTAGATGGCTGGTGATTAAATGAAACACCCCCCTATGTGCTGTCAAAAGGTTGGTACAATACATCGCAGGGTAGGAAGTAGGCTACTACTTTGAAAATATTGTTAGAAAACCAAAACTCCAAAGAAACAAAAGGCTGACGGAGTGAAATGTCCAGCACCTAATCCAGACTGAAATGTTTTTTGTTTTTTTTTTAATCAAATTTACAGATTAGAACACTTTCCTAATATTTTTGTTTCTTATATATGCAGCTATTGCTCTTTGAATCCCAGCTGGTAGCTTTCTGAGTGCACATGGCATTATCTAGTTCTCCCCATGCGTACCTGGGTCCTCTCCAGGTTATCCTCCCTTCTTGCACCTTCCAATAAAAGTAGGGGTATAACAGCAATCCATGACATGAGTTTTCACAATCTGAAAGGTAGCAGAATAGTTCCATTAAATTGAAATCTTTAATATGAGGAGTTGTTTATTTTATTTTGTAGCTTATCTAAATTAACCCTTAATGTGGACACTCTAGGTCTATATTTAAGAACAGAATTTGAAGGAAAGATGGAACGTAATTCTTTCTAGTTGCATAACAAATTTGGCCTTTGAAGATGAGGAAACATGGCTGGAAAAGCATCATAGAAGTTTCCACCAGCTTTAAACTATTATATTTTAGGTATTCTGCAGAAGAAGAGAAGGTGATAGAGCAACTAATAAGATGCAAATTATTTTTTTTAGTCTGAAAGAATATTGAGTCTGGTCTACTGGTCTTTATGGATGCAAAAGTTCACTCTCTGCCAGGGGCGTTGCCAGGCACAAAGCTTTACTGGGGCACTGGCCCCCTAGTGCATATGCCCCTCCTTCCATACATAAATACAGACAAGCACACTGCCCCACCCTGATACATTCCTACCAAAATTACCAGTTGAGATATTAATGAGTATAAGATCATATTTGTTTTAACAAACATGAACATTTTCAACATTGCAGCTATAAAAAATAAGACATCAACAACTTTGACAAATAAAAAGTTTCCTTATACACATTCTGAAGTAATCATTAATTCCTAGGTTACAGAGTTTTAGTTCGGGGGAAATTTTAACTCATCCTGAGCTAAGTTTTCCTTTTATTTTTTGAGCATTAAAGTGTACCTCCTATTTATAATTTTTGCAAAGTGGTCAATCACTTGTGACTCAGCTTAGAAAGTTCTTCCTTTTCAACTGATAAAATAGCAAGATGATGGAGCCTGTCTTGTCCCATTGTGCACCTCAGCCAAGTGTGGATCCTTCTCAACACACTGAATGACCTTTCACAACTCCAGCTGTAGACTGGGATTGTGAGGGAGATCTGGATGACCTGCGTTAGTGTGGGGAACATGATGTTATCAAGCAAGTTGAAAACACACTGCATATCCTTGATGACAAGGATTTCTTTTTTAACCAGGAAAAGCTCAAAACAATTTGAATTAAATGAACGTTTTTTTACTTCAAATTTGTGCTGGGGATGGTGGGACAACTTCACTTGTTTAGGACCATCATGCTTTCCCCCTAAGTCACTAATGTCCCCTTCTTGTTTGTGGACGCTGGTTGTTGCTCCCTCATCACCTTCATGGTCCTGTCTCTACTGATCTCACCTGTCTCTCCTGTCTCTCTCCTGTCTCTTGCCTGTCAGTCTCGCCTCCTCCTCCCTTTTCTACTCCAGCACCTGCATTCTCATTCTCTACAGCAAACATTAAAAAAACGTAAATTTATAATTATGTAAATATCTATCATATTGCTTATAATGTTGCTAATGTAACTAGTTAGCTTAAATCACTAATTCATTACGGGACCTTACCTCCCTCTCTCATCTTGTTTTACTGCTTCCCTGTCTCTGCTTCATGTGAGGAATTTCCTGATATCCATCTACAAACCAATGCAGTAATTTTCAGTCAGTAGCCTATAAATCATGTGGTTTCACTGGGAAAATAATAAAATTGACAGGTAAGAAACATTACCAGAACTAAAAATGCGTCGCGGCCGCACAGTGTCCCATCCAACTCAGTTGAGAGCAGCGTGTTAGTTTACCTGCAGTTCATGCAGTGACATGCGCTGACGTGGGGGCGCTAATTCATCCTCAATTTGGAGTTACCAACACACTTGCTGCGCATTTGAGTAGAAATATACGTCTCCTTCCGTTGGAATTATCTAAATTGATGCATTAAAAAAATGTAATACTGTTGCAAATATTCATGAGATTTATACTGGGGCACAGCTCATTTATACTGGGGCACGTGCCCCAGTAAATGGGGTCTGGCGACGCCGATGCTCTCTGCCAGGGGTTCTGATTAGGGCTCAGTAAAGGACTAATAAACCATTTTTAAATAACCAGACTTTAGTTGGGTGCCTCTAATTCAAAAGCTAAAACTGTTTTCATGTCTAGTGTTTTTAATCCATTTAAAACAAACTCTGGTTTGATGTGGTTTGGTTGAACACAGCAATAAAAAGATTCAGGTGGTATAGTAGCCAGACAGATGCCAGTAATTTCATCAAATTCTCTGTATTTCTACCTCCAGCCAGTAAGCAGACTGGATGCTGAAGCATGGTGAGGGACCGCTTTTGGTTTGCTTGGAATCTAACCTGTGTGAAAACAAATGACCAGAGGAATTCAAAAGCTAACAAACTCATCAACTGATTCAGAGAAATGTCATTGAGCTATAGGCGTGAAAACGCCCCAAAATATTTAAAGAAATCCAACCTGATCCTGATTAATCCAAAAAGGGAAGGGATTCTTTAAAAGCAATGTTTAGGAAACCAAATATACATTTTTAATACAAAATAAAGCTTTTATAATCTTCTGTTGTAGCATTAGAACTCCTCAGAGGATAAACAAGGAAGCAAACCTAATCACTAAATAATAGAAACTGTGAAAGATGGACTTTTCCATATAGACCAAAGATCTTTGGGAACTATTTTATAAGCATTAACTCAAACAATTTCTGTTTAATGTAAATTTTTCAAATTTCCCTGAACTCCACTGTTCAGACAAAGAGAGTTCTTATAGTATTTATGGATATTAGTCATAAAATTATTTGTTATTACTCTTTAATAAAAAAAACAAAATCATCAAAGTTAGTTAGAATTGATCTCATTTAGTTTATTAGGTTTCTTTCAAAACATTTGATTGGTATTTTTACCCTGATATACTGATTAAAATCCACCCAAAACTAGTTGTGCCCAAACTGTTAAAGCACTTTTATGTGCTGGATGTTTTATCAGCGTTTGGTGGTTAAATAATCTGTTATATGAACCCCAGTTATGTCATTTAAATGACCAGATCAGGTTATTTTAAACCCAGCAGTTAGAGAGTATAAAGTTGTCTTTGGCTGTGTTTGTTTTTTTTAGGGAAAGGGGGGCTCATATGACACAGTATGGCTCCATGGGGGTCTGCATCCCCAGGCAGCAGGAAAAACAGGCCCTGAGTCTCATCCGGAGCTCCCTGTTGAACATGAAGCTGATGATGGGGTTGGCCCCCGCCTGGGCGAAGCTCATCCACACCGCAGCAGTCAGGTGGAGCTCGGGGACAGGGGCCCCACGCATGAATATCCTCAGGTAGCAGGCGCTAATATAAGGAGCCCACAGAATGAGGAAGGCCAGTGTGATCAGATAGAACATCTTCCCGATGCGCTTCTCCGTCTTGAACTCGTCCAGCACCAGCAGCCTCCTGTTGCCCAGGTGGGAAGCCTGCCTGATGCCCACCAGTGTCGGCGGCGTGGGTCCGCGTCCGAAGCCGGCGATCCAGTTGGCGGCGGCCTGCCCGGTGGCTCCGGGCCCGTGGAAGGTCCAGTTCTGGCTGATAGCCGGAACCAACTGGGTCGGCTTCATTTTACGGTGATCGTAAACGAAGCACAGCATCTTAATGTAAACCACGTGGGTGGTCCCCACGATGACCACCAGCATCAGCATGAAGCCCAGCGTGTCGTTGGACTTGACGTAGCGGTGCTCGAAGGTGCACTGCTCCTCCTCGCGGATGAACTTGTAGGTGCCCACGTCGAACACGGGCGGGAAGGCCATGGCCACGGAGAGGGTCCACACCATGCAGATCACCGCCACGCAGGTGCACAGGTTCACGCGCTTGGAGTAGAAGCGGTGGTGGGCGATCGCCATGTAGCGGGTGACGCTGACGCAGAAGAGCAGGAAGGCGACGTGGAAGCAGAAGAGCACCGACATGAAGGCGACGATCTTGCAGCTGAGCGCGCCGTACGGCCAGGCGGAGCCGGCGCCGATCGACGCCATGACCAGCGGGAAGCAGACGGCCGAGCGCAGCACGTCCGCGACACACAGATCCAGCAGGAAGAAGTAGGGGGCCTTGTGCAGAGAGCTGTCCTTCAGCAGCAGCAGCGACAGAGACGCGTTTCCCAGCAGACTCATGGCCATGATCAGCCCCAGTGACGCCAGCTTGAGCGCAGAGGCCGTGGACGCGTAGCCGGGGAAGGACGCGCTGCTCTCCCCGAACTCGCTAGTGTTTGCCATGGATGCAGCAGCAGTCAGAGCGGATCCACCCATCAAATCATCCCCCCACGCCTGTCCGTCCACGGCTGATTGGAAAACAAAACCAACACAAAAAAAGAAATAATAATAATAATAATAATAATAAAGTCTAGTTGTAAATCGCCTCCATCTCGATGTGCTGTAATCCTCTCAGCTTTTTTCTTCCTCTTCCTCTTCTTATCCTTCATCTCCAAAGCATCTGGAGGAAAAAGCCTCCTTCTCCTCTCTGTCTCCCAGCGCGGTGGAGGAGAGGCGGCTTGCTTTCAGGGGGCGTCAATCCGCTCACTGAGCGCATCTCTGCTTCCCACCGATGGCGGCGGAGGAAAATCCACGCAGCGTCCAAGAGGAGCGCTCCACGGGAATCACGCATGCCCAGCCCAGCTGACTAGCGGCTTAACTGACCTAAATGAGCGGGGTTTCTGTTTCCTTTCCCTATATTTTCCCCTCCTGATATGAAGCGGAGTTGGAGGGTTCGGGGCGTCGCTCGCAGCAGGAGCAGCAGCGTCTCTGCTCTCAATGCGACGCACGTCCGCTGCGATCCAGTGAGCAGGCCTCGGATCAGTGTTTATACCGGGGTGAGGCAGATGTTACTGGAGACATGCATGGGCGGTTCTAAACAGGGGCCAACGGGGGCCAGTGCCCCTGTAGATCATCTCCTGGCCCGTTATGGCCCCTGTACCCAGGGGCGGAGCTAGATGGGGGACCAGGGGTGGCCATGGCCACCCTTACCCTATCATTGGCCAGCCCTGCAATTTTTTACCTACAAAGGGCTGGTTATGCTCCTGCAGCAGTGTGTCGCAGTGAGCTTTATGCAGACATTTTTTATTTATGCTCAATATTAATTAGATAAATAACTACTTTAATAATAACTTAACCATTCATTAAATATGGATATTAGTACATTTAAATATAATTTTTTTGCAGTGATTATTGATAAAAGTAAGTAATGACAATGTAAAATTTGTTCACCCAAGAACTCAAACTTGAAAGAATTTTGTCCACTATACCTTTAATTTAGACAGCATGGATGTTTAGATATCTGTGTCTATTTGTTAGCAACGATGTAGGAAAGTATGGATAGTCTTTATTTAGAAAATATAGATGATATAGATGCTCATTCCTGTTGGAACAGTGTAGACTGACCCTGAGGTTCTGGCGCCTTTCAGCCACCCCTCAATGTGCATTGGTTATTGACTGGCCACCCCTATTAGGATTTTCTGGCTACACCTCTGCCTGTACTGAAGACATAATACTAAAAGATATTCTAATGATGATATGCACTGGAACAGACATGGTTACTGATAGATCCTTTGGATCTGCTTAATGTTTCTTTTCAAAACAAATAAAAACATATACTCTACTTTACTCTTATACTCTTTTTTTAGTTCTCATTCTGATTTTATAGAAAATTGTAATTTTTAACCCTTTATACGGCACTCAGTGAAAATACTTTCAAAATCAACATTTCAAGCCAATAGTGTTATTGGAATCCAGGACAAGACCTTATTACCTTTGTAAGATTCAGAAAATATGGATATTTTGATGGTAAAAAATTAATGTCAATGTAATAACAAGAAAAGCTAACTTGCCTAAATATATTAAGAAAAATAACAAAAGTGATTCTATAAGAAATTTATAAAAAACACTCTGGGAGTGAAAGAAACACTTTTTTTATTACAACATGACCTTAGAGGCATTAATGCTGATACTGGCACTTACATTCTGTAGTTTATAAACCTAAATATAACTGTTAACTATAGGAATATTAACTTTTTAACATTTCAATTTGCTTTTTACCTTTTTTTCTTGACTTGTTAACTTTTTTTCAACTTAATTTACTGTAGGTAGCATGGGCGTAGGTTTGCATAGGGACCATAGGGACATGTCCCTACCAAAATTTTGAACCGTCCTAATTGTCCCTACCAATAATTGGATGTGAGCAACATGTTTATAATTTACAGCAGTAGTTGTTGCAGCAGTGGCTTATTTTCCTTTCGCAGCTCCTCTGCCTGGTCTCTCCTGTCCCTTTCATGTAGCAGCGCATGGAACTGTGCTGCGCTGTTTAACTCAACTCTCATTGGTTGTTCTGCCTTAAGTTCCGCCTTCTCTCTCTCTGATTGGCTGTTTTCTAGTCCGCGTGTGCTTGGAGCCCAACATGGAAAATTTATTCACACTAGAATGCAGCGGTTACTACAATTAATATTAGGCTACAAAACTAGTCCCAATAAAAAAAATGAATATCATGTACACTAAAAAACAAATACCTTTTTTTTTTTTTTTTTTTTTTTTATAAAACGAAAAATTCTGAGTCAGCCAGGAGTTCTGAAGACTGCTGGAAAAATGGGCAAATAAAGGCTGTAAGCCATCAACATTTCTGATTCTTAGCCACAGCCAACTAAAAAAGAAAATGTGAGGGTTTCCTTTTTACCGATATTTAGTTGATATTACTGTTTTCATTTTTTTGTTTTTATTTTTACAATTTTGATATAATTGATCTAAGTGGGTTGCTCTGTGGTTTCCCACACACATTTTACATTTATATTACTGTATGTTTTAAAGTCTCTATACTCCAGTTAATGATGAATCACCTACTAAATTAGTTGACGATTATTTAAATAATCAATATGATTCATTTTTTTTCAGCCCCAGATGAAATACATGATATTTGCTACACAGAGTAACTACAGCCCAGATGTTCAACTTTTATAGTGAAGTTAATATTTTAATGAATGTATTATTTTGCTTGATACAGAGAGAAAATAGTAGGCACAAATATTAGAGTGGGGTTTAACTCTGCACAATTCTATATCTTCAAAAGAAAATACTGTATTTACCTTCTCTCTTAGTTGTTCAAATGAAACCGTTTTCAAAGTGGAAAACAGTCCTAATTCCACATTCTTCAGAGCCGGTGATGCTTCAAACATTGATAAACAGCATCTAATGAGTGTAGAGCTTATAACATTTTTATTAATGGAGCAAAATGTTGCTTTTCTCTTTTAACAATGAATTCCTCTTATCAGTACGGATGCTCACATCGAGCATAAAAAACGGCATGCATATTGCATAGCACCAATGACACCAGACCAATAGTGTCCCTACCAAAGTTCAAATCAAACCTACGCCCTTGGTAGGTAGTATATCATTCAATTGGTCAAATGCCAAAATAAGATGTACAGCTATGTAGCAGTATCTTTACTGAATGGCTGGATATAGATAGATCTGGTGCAGGTCTATAAGCAATGCACTCAAGGAAAAAAACATCAGGAACATTTAATTCATGCAATTTTTGTCATCTATTTAGGATTAAGATTTTTCAACTGTGCAGGTTCAGTTTACAAGACTGGTGGCAATATTTTAAAGAGAAATTTTGTCATGATATTGACCTGGTGACTGGCTTAATTATTCATTCCATTCACCTGTCCAACTCTGCTCGGTTTCTAATCACTGCTCATCTGATCCACCTGCTCCTGCCCCTATTTAGGGCTCTTGCATCCAATTATCAGGACCAGATTATTCTCGTTGTCCTGCACCAATGGTGAGAGGTTTTTTAGTGTACCTGATGTGTTTCTGATTACCTGATGTTGTCCTGCTCTGCCTCTCAACCACTGAGCCAGTCCGTTCCTGTCTGAACAGTTTGCCTGAACTGTCTTTGGACTCCTGGACCTCTGAACCTTCCTGTTCTGTCTTGCCTTGAATACTGGGTCCTCTGTTTAATTTTACTAAAGGTTTTCCATGTCTGGTGATGAATGATAAAGATTTTTCAAGCTTATACTCAGAAAACTTTGACCATTGTCTACTTAAAAAAATAAGGCAACAAAGTGACAGATAAATATAATTTAATAGGTTTTAATTACTTCAACTTTGATTAAAAACCATTGATTTAATTAAGCAAATTTAAACAAAAATTTGAAATACAAAATAATGAAATCATTGGTTGAAATACTTTGGATTTACTTATAATATGGCAAATGTTGAGTAAATCCAAATCAATTATACAGGGAAAACTGATTAATATTTACTATGTATCCGAAAGAAATAAATTTAGATATACCAAATATTTGTTAAAAAGTGATTAAGATTTACTAATTAGAGGTAAAGACTCAGCAGTATTACTGTCCATCTTCATATTTTAGCTGTGGATTGCTGTTGCAAGAACCAGAAGAATCATGAAAAACAAGAGGAGTGTCTGGTTTTGCCTCTGTGAAAGTGGACTATGTCTCTGGCATCCATGTCCTAAGCTGGTGGCAAAGTGTTCATAGTCCATCAAGAAACTGTGTTATCAAGACACAACTTTCACTGTCCTGGTTATAATGCAGCATTATCATTTACTTGTTACTTCTCGAATACCAAGCTACAAAAAACATCACACCCTTCAGATGAGTATGGATAACTTTTTTTTTTTTTTCACTTGAGCACTTAAATCACTTGAACACTTGAACACACAGAATAACTGAGCACACCAGTGTATTTAGGCTCCCTTTCTTAAGCCAGTAGCTTGCTCTTGAGGCTGTTCACTTTTGGAGAAAGTTTTGAGCAGTCCAGCTCCAGGAAGAGTTTCTGAAAGGCTTCGAAAGTGTACCTGAGCTCCTTGGGATAGGCAAGATTCACTGCATACGTCAAACCAACAAGCATGGCAGAAGCTCTTGGAAAGTTACCCAGAGCGGTCAGAACCTTTGTACCATCTATTACAATTCCGATGTCCTCTGTACCCTCTGACAGATTAGTATGGATGCTGTAAATTTTCATCCTTTGTACAGCAAGGTCCTGTGGCACACTGTCTTTATCTGCATCCTAAAATAATGAGAACATTTTGTATTTTAGACTGTGCAGCTAAAGGAGATGGTCCTAAATAAATAGAGATTTAAAGAGATATAGAGATTTAGTAAGTACAATACATACCTGCGGTCTTTAAGTGTTGACAGATAAGTGTTGGTAGATTCTTTACGCACTGAGTTGCCGCCATGTGATTGGTTGCTTAGAAATTAAGTGTTAACGAGCAGTTGGACAGGTGTACCTAATAAAGTGGCCGGTGAGTGTATATATATATATACATGTCTATATTTATATACGTATATAGACATGTATTTATATGTATATATATATACATATACACTCACCGGCCACTTTATTAGGTACCCCATGCTAGTAACGGGTTTGACCCCCTTTTGCCTTCAGAACTGCCTCAATTCTTCGTGGCATAGATTCAACAAGGTGCTGGAAGCATTCCTCAGGGAGTTTGGTCCATATTGACATGATGGCGTCACACAGTTGCCGCAGATTTGTCGGCTGCACATCCATGATGCGAATCTCCCGTTCCACCACATCCCAAAGATGCTCTATTGGATTGAGATCTGGTGACTGTGGAGGCCATTTGAGTACAGTGAACTCATTGTCATGTTCAAGAAACCAGTCTGAGTTGATTCCAGCTTTATGACATGGCCCATTATCCTGCTGAAAGTAGCCATCAGAAGTTGGGTTCATTGTGGTCATAAAGGGATGGACATGGTCAGCAACAATACCCAGGTAGGCTGTGGCGTTGCAACGATGCTCAATTGGTACCAAGGGGCCCAAAGACTGCCAAGAAAATATTCCCCTCACCATGACACCACCACCACCAGCCTGAACCGTTGATACAAGGCAGGATGGATCCATGCTTTCATGTTGTAGACGCCAAATTCTGACCCTACCATCCGAATGTCGCAGCAGAAATCGAGACTCATCAGACCAGGCAACGTTTTTCCAATCTTCTATTGTCCAATTTCAATGAGCTTGTGCAAATTGTAGCCTCAGTTTCCTGTTCTTAGCTAAAAGGAGTGGCACCCGGTGATGGTCTTCTGCTGCTGTAGCCCATCTGCCTCAAAGTTCGACGTACTGTGCGTTCAGAGATGCTCTTCTGCCAACCTTGGTTGTAACGGGTTGTTATTTGAGTCACTGTTGCCCTTCTATCAGCTCGAACCAGTCTGGCCATTCTCCTCTGACCTCTGGCATCAACAAGGTATTTCCGCCCACAGAACTGCCGCTCACTGGATGTTTTTTCTTTTTCAGACCATTCTCTATAAACCCTAGAGATGGTTGTGCGTGAAAATCCCAGTAGATCAGCAGTTTCTGAAATACTCAGACCAGCCCTTCTGGCACCAACAATCATGCCACCTTCAAAGTCACTCAAATCACCTTTCTTCCCCATACTGATGCTCGGTTTGAACTGCAGGAGATTGTCTTGACCATGTCTACATGCCTAAATGCACTGAGTTGCCGCCATGTGATTGGCTGCTTAGAAATTAAGTGTTAACGAGCAGTTGGACATGTGCACCTAATAAAGTGGCCGCTGAGTGTATATACATATGTACATATATATATATATATATATATATATATATATATATATATATATATATATATATATATATATATATATATATATACAGTACATATATATATATATATATATATATATACAGTACATATATATATATATACAGTACATATATATATATATATATATATATATATATATATATATATATATATATATATATATATATATATATATATATATAACTCAGGGGTTGACATTAAGGATTTTTACCACTTTCACATTACAATTTTTACTTGCCCAGTATAACGTTTGATAAATATAGTTCCTGATATTCATTTTTGTATATATATCAATGAAACATGTTTGTTTTGTAAATGTTTTTTGTAATTCAGTATTTTTTAAGTTTACAGGTTCCTGGTGTGTATATGCATGCGTCAGATAATGAACTGTTAACATTACCATGTTAATATGCTTTTCATGGAAAAATATTAATTGAAATTTTAAAAATCTTGCTTTTGAAGTAGTCCACTCTCAGCTAAACATTGGAATTTTAAAGTTGACAGTACGTACGTAGTATGACCAAACACAAAAAGCAGAGAAAGTTTTTATTTTATTTTTTTTTTGTGTGTGACATTCCAAGATATAAGGCTGGGCGATACAGCTGAATAATCTACTCACTGATTTTTTTTTTTACCTACAGAAATCTATCTATTTTTCACTCCTTTAGTTTGACAATAGACAAAGTCAAATGACAAAGATTACTTGAGAAAAAACATTTTATTTCAATCATCCCCTCTGGAAAGGTGGCCTGGTGGAAAAAAAGAAATTCTACATTTTCCAGAAATTAAGTCTTCACAAAAAGAAAAGATTAATCAATAAAATCAGTTAAACGACTCTGCCCGACCCAAATATGTTGTTAAAAACCATTAGTGTAATTGATTTTAGCTGTTTAAAGGGCTTATATCAGGCAAAATCAACTTTTTTTCTTAGCTTTAAGGATTCATTTTTTTCTTTTTTTTTAACCAGTCAAATTGACATGTTTATGGTATGAAATTTGGACTCAGGTCTCAAATTTCATACCATAACATCACAGGGTCATGGGCCCGGGGCCCCATTAAAGGCCCAACCCTCGTGACCCTTATGCCTGGGTTACCCGATTTTTAACGCCCACCCTGAGCCCGTGGCGGACCCCCAAACAGGGCAAAGTTTCGCAAAAAATAGATTTTTAAGGCAGGTTATGGTATAGATGCACCGATTGCCCACCAGAGGGCGTCCGGACACTCTGTATAACTCAATATAGGACAATTTGCAGGGGACAACCCGCAATATTTATGCATCTAACCATGGGACAGTCTGGTAGTTCTTTTCATTGAGCCAATCCGGCACATTGGACATGTCCTAGTACTCGGCATTAAACCAATTTTTGCCTCACCAGGGGCACGGCCACCCAGAGGCACTAACCGAGGGACAGATGACAATATTGAAGCACTGGACCTGTCTTTGGATCAAACAACGTGACAACCAGAAGTATTTTGAATGGGCCAGCACTCGGCATTAAACCAATTTCTGCCTCACTAGGGGCACGGCCACCCAGAGGCACTAACCAAGGGACAGAGGATAATATTGAAGCACTTGACATGTCCTCGGATCAAACAACGTGACAACCAGGAGCATTTTGAACGGGCCAGCACTCGGCATTAAACCATTTTTCGATTTTTTTTCCAAGTTTTACCAACTTACCTGGTTCACAGCCACCCAACAGCAACAACGAATGGACATCTGGCCAGATTGAAGCACTGGGACAACAGTCAGCATGTTAAAGTGGAGATCTGCAACATTTAACCATTTTTGGATTTTTTACAAGTGTGGCCCCTTTAACAGTTGCACCACCACCCAGCAGCGTTAACCAAGGGACATTAAACTACATTAAACCATAGGGACCAAATGTCCAAAATAGGAATAATAAAGGAAGACATTTCTTAAACAATAAATATATTTATTAAAAATTAAAAAAGTTTTATAAAAAACACACTTTAAAGGCACACTATGCAACATTTTTCAGTTAATTAATGTGTTCCATAACGTTTTGGATGATTAAATGAGTCATTTCAGGTTGAACAAAGGTATTCTCGGCCGCCCTGGTGGTCTGTGGGGGAAATACCGCACTTGCAATTGCAGGAGCACCGACCCGCACCCACAGGCTCAGAAGTCTCGCGAGAGTCGGTCTTGCTTTACGGCGAGAACTGCTACACCCCCCAGTTAAAAGCATGCTCGTTGCTAGCACAGTGGCGATCTTTGTGCAGTGCTGCTTTCACACCGGACGCAGCAAAAGCAGCAAAATCGCGTCTGCTGCTTCATTTTTACTGCTTGTACCAGTTAGTTCTGACGCGCGGCTGAAGCAGCTTTGCTGCTCTGGTGCGTGGTGCAAAAGTGTGTCTGACGCGCGTTGGGCGGAGCTTCACTATCCTTTCTCTGCCTTGCAGCTATATTTGCTGTGATCAGTGGGAATAAAGTAGTTTTAATATGTTTTTAAGTGAGAAAATACACCTGAAAACGTAATAAGTGCAGTCAGTTCATTTAGATTATCATCCTGCCTTATAATATTTTTTCTGTCGGAGCCGCTCAGACCCCCACATACCAGCGGTGCTCCGACAGAGGCTGCTGATGAATCCCTTCATCAGCAGCCTCTGGCCGGGTCGCCTCCTCATGGTTCACCGCAGCAGCTGGTAGGTGTTTTTCATCTAAATAATCCAAACTGCAGGCAGCAGGATAATAAAAGCGAACATATTCTGCCAGCAGATTTCTGCATTTTAAGTTAATTTAGGCGTCAATAAACTGTTTAAGAGGAGTGATTATAGCGCTCTGATCATCAGTGCTGTGTCTCTCTCCCTGCCATATCCCAGATCAGCTTCTCTGATTGGTTGACGCGGCGCGTCGAGCAGCAAAAAATAAATTTTTCCATCTCGAGCAGCAGCGCGTTTGCGGCGCGTCACGTGCGTCAGATGCTTAGTCATTTGTTGCGTTCGCCTGTCTGCTAAGCTCAAAACAACCGCGCCTGGCTTGACGGAGAAACCAGGAGAACAGCTGTGCATATTTACGACAGTGCACTTTTACTTTCGCCCTCTGGGGGGAGCCTCGCTGGAAAATCAACACCGGTTGCATAGTGTACCTTTAAATGGAGTTCCCGGGTCCCATGGAACGCCCTGGTCCAACGGTGCCCCCTGTATGGATGGAGCCTGGATAGATGGGGCCCCTGGATGGATGCTGACCCCTGGATGGATGGGGCCCCTGGATGGATGGTGACCCCTGGATGGTGCCGCCTGGATGGATGGGGCCCCTGGATGGATGCTGACCCCTGGATGGATGGTGACCCCTGGATGGTGCCGCCTGGATGGATGGGGCCCCTGGATGGATGCTGACCCCTGGATGGATGGTAACCCCTGGATGGTGCCGCCGGGATGGATGGGGCCCCTGGATGGATGCTGACCCCTGAATGGATTGTAACCCCTGGATTGTGCCGCCTGGATGGATGGGGCCCCTGGATGGATGCTAACCCCTGGATGGATGGTAACCCCTGGATGGTGCCGCCTGGATGGATGGGGCCTGGATGGATGGTGACCCCTGGATGGAGCAG